TGTATGATTATAAAGGTCTGATTCCATGCACTTTCTAAATACACAGTTTGACATCAGAAAAAAAATGTCATTATATAACCATGTCAATAAAAGAAAAGTACCTATTCCTAATTTTGTGATGATTTCATGATTTATGTACTTAATAATGTGTTCATTATGTCTTACTTCACCAGTTGTGTACACAGATGGTATTAGTCATTGGTAATAATGATGTTATTTTGATTGTAGTGGGTGAGTGGGGAATTCGTAAGCTTGGGCTTGTGAAATATGCTCAAAAGAGAGCAGGAGATTACAGTGGAGGTAATAAACGTAAACTATCAACTGCAATATCTCTGATTGGTAACCCACAAGTTGTGTTCTTGGTGAGTGAGATATGCATGATTTAATAATAATTAGTCCCCGTTCGGACGTAGTCCGAAAACGGGGACTTATGTTTTGACCTCCGTGCTGTGCGTCTGTGCGTGCGTCCGAACCTGTATCTTATAAATGCCTGGACCAATCACAATGAAACTTCACACATACATCATACATGATATTATACATATGCACGTCAATTTGTTTCACAATCTGATTTCAGATGGGCTAATGGCGGCCATTTTTGTGCTAAAAAATCCTAAAAATCAAGCATTTCTCGGCCATTTACAGATGGATTTTGTTCAAACTTGGTATATACATTAGACATTATGGGACCTTGATGCGAATAATTTTGTTTTTCAGATAAGATTCAAAATGGCCGACTGGCGCCCATTTTGTATTAATGAATATTGTTCTCGTGCCATATCTCTGACTTGCTTTCACTGATTATGTTCAAATTTTAAATATTCAATATATCATGTCATAGATAGACATATTGGTTTGACGATCCTATTCAAAATGGCCAAATGGTGGCCTTTTTTGTGCTAAGCAATCATAAATATCAAGCATTTCTGGCATTTATGGATGGATTTCATTCAAACTTGGTGCATATATATTAGACATTACAGGTTCCTGATGCACATTTTTCAGATCGGATTCAAAATGGCTGTCTGGCGGCCATTTTGTTTTAATGAATGGGCTTTCTAGACCCATATCTCTGACTTGTTTTGACTGATAATATTTTCAATTTTAAATATTCATTATACATCATGTCATAGATAAACAGATATATTGGTTTGATGATCCTATTCAAAATGGTGGTCATTTTTGTACTAAAAAATCATCAAATATCAAGCATTTATGGGTGGATTTCATTCAAACTTGGTACATATACATGTATTAGACATTATGGGATCCTAATGCTCGTCATTTTATTTTTCAGATTGGATTCAAAATGGCTGACTGGCAGCCATTTTGTTTTAATGATTGGACTTCTAGAGCCATATCTCTTAAATGCTTTAACTTATTATATTTAAATTTTATATATTCATTATACATCATATTATATATATATACATGTATTCAAAATGACTGATTTTGAATGCTGTTCCAGAGCAATATCTCTCAATATGAACAAGTACTTTTTTGACAATCAGATACAAATGTCAATCATTTTAATGCTAAAAAATCATATTCCAGCTATATTACTATAAACAAAACTATATATCTTAAATTTGATAACTAACAGGGACTGTGCCATCCATGGCTTGTTTATAGTGTTTTTAGTCCCCGTTCGGACGTAGTCCGAAAACGGGTACTTATGGTTTGCCCTGTGTGCGTCCATGCATCCATGCCTCCATGATCACCTGTATCTCGAACATGCATGGACCAATTAAGTTCAAACTTCACATACACATGATGGTACATCATGTCACAAATTGATATGTGCATTTGTTTCATGATCAGCTTAACAATAGCTGAATGATGGCCATTTTAAGGCTGAAAATGCATCAAAATCACATATTTTCACAATTCCAGAACCGGATCTCAGTCATGCATGGATGGATTTTGTTCAGATTTAGTACAATGTGTTGTACATATGCAGGTGCATTTCGGATCAGACCACTGAAAGTGGTCTGAGATTTCGGTCATGATCTGCTTTGAATGTATATGTCACTCAAATATGAATGGAATGGGGACGTGTCATTGACAATGACTTGTTTAATTTAATTTAATTTGTTTTGAGTTTTTGGATTTTTAGAAAATCATCTAAAACAAATTTTGATTACCAATTCTTTCAGGATGAACCAACAACAGGAATGGATCCTAAAGCAAAAAGGTTTCTATGGAAATGTATAAACAGTATATTAAAAGAAGGAAGGTCTGTCATCTTGACATCTCATAGGTAGGGTATCATCTTTGCAACTACTCACTGATTGGCTAAATTGGTAGGTGTTACAGTTAAGCACCCAATGACAGTCTTACAACTTACTCATATTAGCCTTTAGTGAATTGTCTAACATGTCTAACATTAAGAAAAAAGAGAAATTTTCTTTTCAAAATGAGATTTTTATTTTACAGTATGGAGGAGTGTGAAGCGTTGTGTAATCGCATTGCTATAATGGTAAATGGTAGATTTCAGTGTCTAGGAAGCACTCAACATCTAAAAAACAGGTAAACACTATTCTGATTCATTGAACTTACACAAAATTTGCTTTATTAGAATTTCATACACTTAAAGTTTTGAAAAAGTGGATTTGTGCATGCATGACTTGTTCACCACCAATAACAAGCATTTTGAGATTGCTAAATACAGTTATTTCTATGATCAAAATGATTATATTTTAAAGATTATATAACAAATATGATTTTTAGTTCTTATGCATTTTATCTTATCTCATTCATTCATTCATTCATTCACTAACTAAAATAATTAGGAAAAACACTGTCATGTGTTAAGAAAATAAAAAAAAAAGTCTACTCTTAAAGTGCCTGTGCAATGCCCACCCTCACGTTTCCCATTTCAGATCTGTGTGCTAAAAATGATTACTTGTATCCAAGTAAATTTGGTTGATACTTCTCGTGTTGTAGCCACGCCCACCTATCCTGAAACGGTCGACTGTTTCCGGATTTCCGACTCTCGCCGAAAATGCGCCACCAAATGACAAAAACGTGAGAGGAAGTCATACCCCTGAGCCATAATAACACTAGTCATTCAGTATAGTTTTAAACGATATACATTTTTCGGTCGGCGTTTTTTTCTTCTTTTTTTTGTCTATTTTTTTTTTTTTCAGAGAGTTTTTAGATGTTGTGTTGTGGGCAGTTGCAGTGAAACGTATAGTCATAGTGTATGTATTCACACGTTTCTATTCGATCCGAAGGTGCGACATCAGTGAACGAAAGCCACTTAATCTCAGATTCTTTTTTTTTGTGTGGAAAAACTGTCCTCGTCCATGAAAAAAATAACTAGGTTTAAAGGGAAACACCGACAACGTAAACTTGGCGCAACACTTTTGAAAGAAATAGATTTCGGACCAGCCCATGATCACCGAGGCGGATTTTAGAAGAGAGAGACGTCCGGCAAGTGTTTCAAATGAGTTGACTTTTTTTGCGATCATGATTATCGTTTTATAGAGACCATTTAGTCACTGTTAAGTAAAAGGTAGCAATTTTGACAGTGACACGAAAACGAAGCATCGGACAAACAGGAAATTACACAGCCCTTACACACTGCAAATTGTTTTCATTTTCGAAGGCTAAAAGTTTCTGTAATGTTTAGTTATTGGTGTTGAATGTCGAATTCACACCTCTGTTCTTTTTTTACCTCCATGCTTGCAGCTTGATCTGCGTAATAATTTATGAAATAAGAATCCGGGCTTGGTCAATGTGTTTAACACCAAAGTTTTAATATGATGTTATAATTATGACAATCACGCCATGGATCACGCTAACTCGAATCCACTCTGAATTTTTCTGTATGTGTGTCGATTCAATTAAACGCCGCTTTTAGTGCACTTGCCCTCGTCGTGACCCGACGCGTTCACCTATTTCAACAAAATGTCAATTTATTTCCACACAACTGTCATTTATTTAGTAACTGTGATTTGTCGTTTTTTTTAATTATTTTATAGTGGTCACTATAGTCTAATGTTTAGAATGTCAAAATATCTTTTATTTTAATTTTGAAAGTTTTACTCAGACGATCGATGAAATAAAACAGTGTAGTGACGTGCCTAGTAACCTGCTAAATAACGAGATAATTCCGACGTAAAATTCTATTTTGTTCATCGACAATGTACAAACGTGCGCCGGTATCGGTGACGATCACGGTGACCAGCTACACCAGAACGGACATATTTCGCATCTAACTCAACCCCATGCAACAAAAAATTATACTATGTGTTCATTATGGTCCATTCTTCCTCGACGAACAAATACATACGTGACAATTTAGTCAAAGACAAGAAAACTGCACAAGAAATTTGCCTTATTTACACGTATCGGCAATGCAAGCTGGCATGCGACTTCCCCTTCTGACGTCACAAGGGGAATTTCTGTATGCAAATGAGAAGCTAATGAGGAGCCTCGTTTTAAAATATACAAAAATAAAGTTGCCGTAGACTGAGTTTAAAACACATTTTTTCACTTAAAAAAATAATTCATGCTTAGAAACATAAAAATTAATAATATTTATATATGAATGGATAATTTTAGGCGTGAAAATAGCAGTCATTTCACAGGCACTTTAATTAAAAAAAAACAATTAACCATTTTTCAATTTATTTTACTTGCAGCCAATATACTGTGGAATACTTTATTTTCGCTGGAAATAATTTTTCGCTGCAAAGACTTTTTGGGCGTTTTGTATGGAATCTATTTTCACTGATTTTTGATGAGTTTAATGTAGGAAAAAAAGTATGTTTGCTTGATTTTATTTTCACTATATCATCCCTTCAGCGAAAATAAATTCAAAGCGAAAATAAAGTATTCTACAGTAAGCAACTTTTCAATAATATTTTTCCAATTCATCAAACCATGATACATGATTATAAACAATGTGAAAATTATGATATGGTTTGTGATCATCTTTTGTATGAACAATTAAAAAAAGGTATTGCTTATCATTTTATAATTTAAATTATAAATATTCAACATGCCTTGAATAAATGATGTACATTTTGATTTGAAATGTCAAAATTTAACACAATTTTCAACTTGTAGATTTGGTGATGGATATACTCTAAGTATACGCATTGGTCGCAATGCCATGGACAGTGTTGATTTACAGTCAGTCATAGAATTTATCAAAGCTGAGTTTCCTGGAGCACTGCTGAAGGAAAAGCATTGCAATATGTTGGAATATCAACTGCCATCAACACAGACATTGTTAGCCAATTTATTTGGTACAATGGAAAGCAGTAGAAATCTGTTACATATTGAAGACTACTCTGTCAGTCAAACAACTCTGGATCAGGTGGGTACCGACTACAATCTAATTTCAACTTTGTCCTTAAAACTACCTGCCTGATTGCTTTGATAATCATTATGTCGGTACAGATTTATTCATATTGTGATAATATTGGTTCTCTAATTTTTGCAAATGAATTTTTTGATTTCTTCTTAAAACCCACCAGCCTCATTTCTTTGATAGTTACTATGTAGATACATTTGGGGAAATTTATCAGATTTGTAACCTGATGACAGGTGATAAACCTTGTGCTGTTTTCACAAGAAAAATCCAATTAAGTCATCTTCACTGAATAATAATAATTTTTCATATTTAAAAAAAAATCTTATATAAGACCTTTAACAAATGAAGAAATTATAGAAAAATTCATAGATCAGAAAGTTGCACTAACTCTTCAGAGGCACTACAGGGATTAAGTACAGTAAAGTTGTGGTAGGACCAATCAAAAAGGCTGTCTCTTTTTATGTACCAGTGCATCTGTTACTCAATCAAATTCATTGTACTTTCAGGTGTTCATCAACTTTGCTAAGATGCAGAGAGACTTAGATGATGACCTCAAGGTAGTGACAGAAGATAATGATACCATGGATGTAGGTGATAATAGCATTTCTAACATTGTTATTGACCATTCCAGTCTTCCTAGTGTGAAATATAACACTGGTAATGACCATGATCTCAGTATTGCAGGTAAGTTTGTAATATATACATCTATTCAACAAACACACATATCCTCCGATTTCTTGCATAGATAATCAAACTGAATAGAAAAGAACAACTTCAGCAGGCTATACGTTAATGAGTTCTTGAATAATCTGATCTTCGATAGCATAATGGTCAGTCATATGATTTGGTGGCTCAATTTCAAATCCACCTTAGGTTGAACATTCATTCATTAACTAATATGACTTTGAGGAAATCTTGGTTAAGATCTGCAAGTGCTTGTTGGTTGATGCCAGGATAACGCATTACGGTAAATCACCATAATGCCATTATGATACGAAGATGATCACACAGCCCTGTCACATACACACAAACTGGAATATGGTCTCATTCAATGTCTGGAGCTGTTGCCTGGCACAAAAATATTTTTAAGAAAAGAAAAAAAATCTTCTTGATAAAAAAAACTGTATGAAAATAACAAATTGAAGTAGATATAATATTGTCAACTTACAGGCAATGCTGCTGCTTCTTCACCAGTAGATGCTATGGATATATTGGTGGAAACAAATACCAAACCATCATCAGATTATACAGACAGAATCCAAGATGGTGATCAAGATCAGTCAGATAGTACAAATCCTGTACATGTCAAAGTAGAGGACTATACCACTGTCTGCTGAACACAACATTATATAATGATATACATGTATTCTTTTAATCAAAAAAACAAAATGTAGCTACTTTGAGTTTTTTTAATCATATAATGTCTACACATGGAAACATTGAATGTAATGGTGTTTGTACAATTTGGATTTGGACTCTTGTTACTGAAATCTATATAAGACTATCAATGGTAGTGAACAGGCTATTGTTGCTATGACATTCACTTCATTTTCATAGTTTCATATTACAGTCTTTGTTGCTATGGCAATAACATCACTTGAGTTCATGCATTCCTTAATTTGAATGCTACCTTATGGAAGAACTTCACAAATATCCCATTTATTTTATAGTACAAGCACCATTATTAAATCAATAGATGATTTTAAAGTTGCACTATGGGACCAATGTAAAATTTTTAATTGATTGCATACATTTTATGATTGATATCCATCTTTTTTATTTGTGCAAAATTATCATAATACAAATTTAACTATATGTGGCTGTACTTTAACTAAACAAGCCATATATATAATATTAATATTATATATATTTATAAGAGAGTGAACAAAATGGCTGAAAAAATGTGTCACCATAGCAACATACACTTTACATGGTTGTCAGAGAATACCGACTGCTTGAGTCATTTACAGTATGTTTTATTTGTTGTTTTTTATTTTGTAGCTTTGTAGTTTTATAAAAAAACTAATTAATTTAAATAGTGAATAACAGTATGTAGTAAATTCATTAGCATAAGTTGCGTGCTCACTTTGCTAGTTTCGTGAAATATCACTCTGAGAACAAGCTTATCTGAAACTATTGTCTTAGCTGAAAATACAATAAGTACATAGATATTCTTACATCACTTTCCTCCTCATTTCATTTTGATTGAAGAGTCTGATCTCTTAAAAAAACATACCTACAACAGTGTGGTTCACATTTAGCATGCCTGAGGCCTGCCCACATTTGTTGTTTGTCGAATAAACAAGATTAAATTTAGTACACTTTCACAGAGTCAAAACATTATTTAGGCTGGCCTAAAACATTCTCTCAGATTTGTGATGTCAGAGGTGTGCAACATGGCGGACTTCAACATGTTGTTTCTTGGAGTTTGTATTTACATAGCAATAGTTTGCATCATTGTATTGGTTATTAAATCATCCCGGAATTCTCCAAACCAAGTCATGGATGGTGAGGAGATTTTGCACAAACCGCTTGTTTTAAACTCTGCGTCAGTTGGTCAGGAAACTTGGTTACAGTGGCATGACTTGACACTAGAACAAGACAAATAGTTTTGAGGACATGAGAAAATGTCACAAATCTCTTACCTTATAAAGAATGTTGTCATCAACTATTGCTTTGAAATATGCTTGCAGTAGTCACAACTATCTTTTCACTTGTGCTGCAATTCTCTCTAACTTCTAACTGCATGGCCTGCAAACTTTTTGTGTCTTTCAAGTTTAGTTTGGTATTCCATCCATATAACAATTAAGGAATTTGTTTTCTCAGCAGTCAAATTAACTGCTCTCACACTCACGGCTATTGCGATTGTGAAAAGGTATAGAGACTGCACAACGAAGCTCAAAACTTATTTTTCATATATAGTCAACAATAGTGGTGATTAAATAATCTTGCGCTCGCTCATACAATAATTAGACCAGCCAAACTTAGGGATTAAAATTAGAGCCAACCCCATCACCCTTTCCTAGGTTTTAGGTTCATGTTCACACCTAACATTTAGGCAAGCCTAAGTCTGGCTTTATATCCTGTTGTGAAACCAGCTGTTGTAACTGAAACAAACAAAGCCTCCTAACTCAGTGAGTATTGTGTACATTGTATACAAATAGCTATTGTAACTGAAACAAACAATGAAACAAGCAAAGCCTCCTAACTCAGTGAGTATTGTGTACATTGTATACAAATAGCTATTGTAACTGTAACAAACAAAGCCTCCTAACTCAGTGAGTGTTGTGTACATTGTATACAAATAGCTATTGTAACTGAAACAAAGCCTCCTAACTCAGTGAGTATTGTGTACATTGTATACAAATACTGTAGAATACTTTATTTTCGCTTGGAATTTATTTTCGCTATTTTCGCTGAAGGGATGATTCCGTGAAAATAAAATCCAGGGAATAATTTCACATTAAACTCATCAAAAATCAGTGAAAATAAATTCCATACAAAACACCCAAAAAGCCTTTTCAGCGAAAATTAATTCCAGCGAAAATAAAGTATTCCACAGTAGCTATTGTAACTGTAACAAACAAAGCCTCCTAAATCAGTGAATATTGTGTACATTGTATACAAATAGCTATTGTAACTGAAACAAACAAACAATGAAACAAGCAAAGCCTCCTAACTCAGTGAGTATTGTGTACATTGTATACAAATAGCTATTGTAACTGTAACAAAGCCTCCTAAATCAGTGAGTATTGTGTACATTGTATACAAATAGCTATTGTAACTGAAACAAAGCCTCCTAACTCAGTGAGTATTGTGTACATTGTATACAAATAGCTATTGTAACTGAAACAAACAAAGCCTCCTAACTCAGTGAGTGTTGTTTACATTGTATACAAATAGCTATTGTAACTGAAATAAACAATGAAACAACAAAGCCTCCTAACTCAGTGAGTGTTGTGTACATTGTATACAAATAGCTATTGTAACTGTAACAAACAAAGCCTCCTAACTCAGTGAGTGTTGTGTACATTGTATACAAATAGCTATTGTAACTGTAACAAACAATGAAACAAACAAAGCCTCCTAACTCAGTGAGTGTTGTGTACATTGTATACAAATAGCTATTGTAACTGTAACAAACAAAGCCTCCTAACTCAGTGAGTATTGTGTACTTGTATACAAATAGCTATTGTAACTGTAACAAACAAAGCCTCCTAACTTAGTGAGTATTGTATACAAATTTAGCTCAATTTGTGAGGACTGCTTAAATTCAAATTCTGTAGTTTTTGTATTTCTTCATTACCCATCCAGAATCTCAACCTTTACTAATGTATTTATATTGGTCTGGAAAGTGTGAATGCTACTTTAATACCTATGATGAGATGCGTTTGCCATTCAGAAATACTAATTGTTGGTTTTAAAAAGATGATATTAGCTGCCCAAGGTTTTTGCTAACTTTTTGGATAAGAAAATATGTTGATTTAACTAATGTGTAATACTAGGCAGTTACAGCTAGAGTGGTAGACATCTGTCTGTGTGCCTTAAATTCATATATATATATATATTATATTGAACATTTACACAAGAAATGTACTTTGCTGTGTTCATATTTTAGTCTGGAATACATGTTGTAATTGAAATGTGTGTACGTGTTCAAAATCATGACCAAAGATTTATCCATTCAATGCAACATTTGTAAGACAGATGAATTTTATCTTGGAAACAGGTTTTATTACGGAGGCGTACGTGCTGCAATAAATGCTATGCTTATTTAGCTTTTTAACTGTTGACTGATAAATATGTAATCAATTTTTTTTATTTTATTGAAAGGCTGTGTCATCACGTGTAATGTACATCATCAGGTTTATACAAATGAGTAAATCCTTATACTTTTAAGTGAATCACTGTGAAGACAAATGAAGTACAATTCCATCGTCCATAAAACCCAGTTTTATGTAAATTAGTTTAAAGTACACACAAATTGTTTAGTGATTTCCTCTATGTAAATTTGTAAAATAAATAGAGTTCATATTTTCAGAGGTGTTTTAACATTTTTAAAAAAGTATTGCATATATATGTGGAGCATCTAACCAGGGGGATATCCTTTCATTTATACTTTGTCTATAATAATAATATAATAACAAATGTGCTCTGTCTGATTCATTTCAACAAATGTGCTCTGTCTGATTCATTTCAACAAATGTGCTCTGTCTGATTCTTTTCAACAAATGTGCTCTGTCTGATTCATTTCAACAAATGTGCTCTGTCTGATTCATTTCAACAAATGTGCTCTGTCTGATTCATTTCAACAAATGTGCTCTGTCTGATTCATTTCAACAAATGTGCTCTGTCTGATTCATTTCAACAAATGTGCTCTGATTCTTTTCAACAAATGTGCTCTGTCTGATTCTTTTCAACAAATGTGCTCTGTCTGATTCATTTCAACAAATGTGCTCTGTCTGATTCATTTCAACAAATGTGCTCTGTCTGATTCATTTCAACAAATGTGCTCTGTCTGATTCATTTCAACAAATGTGCTCTGTCTGATTCATTTCAACAA